TATATATACACACATTGTTATGTCCCAGTGTCCCTGTGTTTTCCTTGTGTTGTTTTTGATTTGCAGGTATACTGGTTATTGGGGGTGTGTCTTCCCACCTGAGGCTCATTATGCGGAGCTATATAAACTGCAGTGCTGATGAGGACAGGGGCACGATGTGACCACACTAGTGGGACCTGCTGCTTTCTCTTTTGTTTTGTTGTTTATTTTGTTTGCATACAGTTCAGACCTTGAGCCTACAGTCCACTGTCATGCACGCTTACATCACTGACTTACATTAATATTGACTATTGACTGTTTGAATACCTTTGTTAATTATGCTTTTGTTAAATAATCTATTTTTCTTTGTTACTTGCTGGTCCGTGTTGGCTCTCGTTTATGTTGCAATTTGGAGCCAGTTATAACATATGGGGGCTCGTCTTTTCGAGAGGCACGCGGACTGGTAATTAGTAAAGAGGATCAGGTGTGCGCGTTTTAAGGGAGAGCAGTTCGTATGTGTTTGGCTTCGGACTGGTAAGTCAGTGCGGCTCATAATAAATGATTGGTTATGCTCCCCGGATAGGTTGTTAATGTTTTCCTGGGTTGAGTGCACGGCCGTGGTTGTAGATCTGGACCGACAGTTCAGCTTTGCACCAGCGGTATTAGATGCTTAAAGAGACTCGACTCTTGGGAAAGCACAGAAGAGTTAGGGTTGAGTTATATAGTGGGGGTATGGGATAGTTAGGGGGAGATTTGATTGTGAGCCGAGATTGCTTATCGTGTCTGATGTTAGAAAATTATGTGAAATTATGTCACTACTGCGCTTAGTTGAAAATTAAGTCCAATTTCTTAGGTATGACTTGGTTAGAAGAATCTATTAGTTCCCCGTCAGAAGAAAAATTAAATTTGTGTTCGAAGCAGAAGTTATGGGGGATTGTAGAGAGTTATAAATTGGTTGGGATCGATAAACTCTTGCGAAAAGACGAGTTGAGAGCGCTGATTAAAGGGAAGTTGGTCGATTGTGGCATGCTGATGGAGGTGTCCAAAATGGCTGATATAGAGGTAGGGAAGTTTGATTTTTCTATGAGTAATTTATCGTTTGAACAACTAAAAGAAATATTGGAGTTAAGGCAGGCTCATGAAAAAGAATGTACAGGCAAGCTACGGAACGTGAGAGAGCTAAAAGAAAAGGAAACTTAGTTAGCAAAACTGAGGGCTGAGGATTTGGTGAAGCAGCGAAAACAAGAAATTGAATATGAAAAAAATTGAATTAGATTGACAAGCTAAAGATCATCAGTTACAAATAGAACGACTGAAATTTATGACTGATGGAAGACTGTCAGCAGATGGTGTTCGAGAACGCGATCGGTCTGGGGAATTAGTAAGTAATTTGAAGTTGCTACCGAAGTTTAACAAAACTTTTTCGTTTTTTTTTTTTCGTTATTTGAGAGTGTGGCTGATGAACGGGTTTGGCCTAGCACTGACTGGACAATTATGCTGCAGTCAGTGTTAGTTGGTAGAGCTCAAGAAGCCTATACTGCGCTTTCAGGGGAGGATCGTAAAGATTACACGAAGGTAAAACTGTAGTTCTTACATCTTTTGAATTGGTCCCAGAGGCATATCGATTACGTTTTCGCACTTGGAAAAAAATGACCGACAAACCCATGTTGAAGTTCTTCGTGAATTAACTACTCATTTTGACCGCTGGTGTTCTACTTCCAGTGTACGTACATTTGAGGGCCTGCAAAAATTGATTCTCATTGAGCAGCTTAAAAGTATTGTTCCAGTAAATATTGCCACCTATATTAATGAGAACAAGCCTAGGACTGCTAGGGAGACTGCAGTGTTAGCTGATGATTTTGTGGTAACGCACAAAAATAGGGTGGGTGACTATAGATTGAATAGGGGTAGGAATTATAGTGAGGGTTTCTTGAGACCGAATCTTCAGAAACCTGATTTATTAAAAGCAGATAAAGTGTCAAATGCACCTCCAAGAGTTGTTCCTGATTCTGTGTGCCGTTATTGTTTTGAAGAAGGGCATTGGAAAAAAGAATGTCCTGTCCTCAAAAGTAAGCAAATGCGTGGTAAAGGTTCGATAAGATCGCAAAATGTTTCCTCTCCAGTATTATTGACTGGTTTTGTTCATCCCGAGCTTTGTCCTGATGAGAAACCGTTGCGGGTTGTCCCGCAGAATGAATGTTTGCTGGGATTAAACCAGAGTTATATTCCGTTTGTGATGGAGGGGTTACCCATTGTTGCTTCGCTGTCTACGGTCAGTTCGGTCGATGTTGCTGCTGAGGAATTTTCAAATGTGTTTCCATCGTGTGCTGTGACTCGGTCTAAAACTAAAGCAGCTAATGAGTTTATGCAGGGAGAGTTCGAGGAGGCTCCTTGGCAGAAGTCCTGTCTTTATGTTGTTTCTGGTCTTTCTCTTCTCCCCACTTTTTCCCGTGCAGAGTTAACAGCTGCGCAGCAGGAGTACCCGACGTTGTCCCAGTTATTTAGCGCTGTTTTGTCTCCAGATGAGGCGCAAAGTGCAGCATTCGGGTATTTTCTACAAGATGGGATCCTGTTATGGAAATGGATGTCCCAGAGTGAGGTCCGTGGGGGTGAGTTGGTGGTACAGTTTGTATTACCAACTAAGTTGCGGGAGGTAGTACTCAATGTAGCGCATGGTCCCGTTGCGGGGCATCTGGGGGTTAAGAAAACTTAAGTTCAAATTGAAACATTTTTATTGGCCCTTGTTAAAAAAGGATGTTTCTAAGTTTATCAAAACGTGTCACGTATGTCAAATGACGGGGAAACCAAACCAATCTCTTAAACCAGCTCTGTTATGTTTCATTCCTTGCAATGGGGCAACCGTTTGAATATCTTTTGATTGACTGCATGGGCCCGTTGCCGCCCTCAAAATCGGAGAGCAAGTTTTAGTTGACGGTCATGTGTCAAAATACCCATTCTGCTGCTTTTTGGAAAATTACCACCAAGGCCGTAGTTAAGGCTCTCTCACAATTTATAGCCAATTTTGGTATTCCGCAATTTATTCAGAGTGATCGGGGAACAAATTGTTCCTCCAAAATGTTTGCCAAGATACTGAAACAACTGCGGGTGCGGCACCAACAGTCAAGCACTTATCATCCACAATGTCAAGGCGCGCTGGAGCGTTTTCACGAGACGTTGAAGACTTTGTTGTGCGCTTATTGTACTGAATTGAATCATGACTGGGAGGAGGGACTGCCTTGGCTTCTCTTGGCAGCAAGAGAGGTGACAGTCTAGTTTAGGCTTTAGCCCTAATGAGCTGGTTTTTGGGCATAAAGTCTGTGGTCCTTTAGCCGTTCTAGAGGACTGCCTGGGAAAAAGAGCTTCTGATAAGCATATTGGACTATGTGAATGGGTTTAGGAGGAGATTGTTTTTGGCAGGTCAAGCTGCACGGGAGAACTGTGGGGAATCAGGGGAAAATGAAGTGATTTATTTTTACTGGGGTTCTGAAATGTGAGAGTTTTCTCCAGGCGATCAGGTCCTGGTATTGTTGCCTTTGCCTGCATCGCCATTTCGGGCCAAATTCTTCGGACCCTATACAGTTACTCGGTGCGTACCTGAGTTGAATTATCTTATTTCCACGCCCGATCGAAAGAAATCTGAGCATAAATATACATAAATTTAACTGAATGATGATTGAGCAATATTGAAGACAGCTGATGTTAAGCAGAATTACTGAAGGAAAGAGAAACAAGAACAGACAAAAGAGAAACAACAACTATAACATACAACCACAGCCTTCGATGAAATCAAATTAAATAAAATAAGACATTAAATCTCAAGATCTCAGCAGAGGATGATTAAACAACTCCACAAACAGCATTGCAGCTTCACACATTACTAACAAGATTGACTTTATTTCTGTCATATAAACGTTCTTATGAGAATTTGCAAAGGTTTAGATGTTGATGTTTTATTGAAAATTATATTTGTCACCATTAATGTTTTTAGTGTTTGCTTTAGTTTGGCAGCTGGCCCTTAAAGGAACACTCCACTATTTTTGAAAATAGGCTCATTTTCCAACTCCCATAGTTAAACAGTTGAGTTTTACCGTTTTTTAATCCATTCAGCCGATCTCCGGGTCTGGCGGTAGCACTTTTAGCTGTAGCTTAGCATAGATCATTGAATCTGATTAGACTGTTAGCATCTCGCTCAAAAATGACCAAAGAGTTTCTATATTTTTTTCATCAGGCGCTGCGTAATATCATTGCGCCTGCTGCACCCATGGTACGGCAGCAAAGTTCCTTATTACGCTGGAATGACAGTATAGTTCCTAGCCATATCGGCCTAGAAAATCGCAACTCTTCATTTTCCGTTGGTCTTAGTACACGATGTAACTACAGAAGAGTCAAGTTTTAAATAGAAAAAATATAGAAACTCTTTGGTCATTTTTGAGCAAGATGCTAACGGTCTAATCAGATTCAATGATCTATGCTAAGCTACAGCTAAAAGTGCTACCGCCAGACCCGGAGATCGGCTGAATGGATTCGAAAATGGTAAAACTCAACTGTTTAACTCTAGGGGAGTTGGAAAATGATCCTAATTTCAAAAATAGTGGAGTGTTCCTTTAATATTTTGACTTTAGTTTTTGGTGATGTGTCATTAGTTTCATATTATTGTTTATAGTGATCATGTGAGAGAGCATGTTAGCATTAAGCTGTGATAGAAGAACATTAAAATTTTTACATGAAAAATGCTCAGAGCTTCTTAAACATATAAACACACACAGAAATCAAGAATCAGTGAATGAATCTCAACAGCGGTGACATGATTCATGCTGCAATGCATTCTGGGTACACTAGAGAAAACTCAACCATAACTCCCAGCATACATTGCAGCCTGAATTGTCAACGCTGTTGAAATTCATATGCTGATTCTTGATGTCTGTCTGTGTCTTAAAAGATTCAAATATTCAAATTGTTTTGTGTTCAATGTGTTATGAGATAACTGTGAAATGCATGGCAGCACAGGGTGCCAAATGTTTACTATTAATAAAAATAATGGTTAAAGAAAAAAATTCTGAACTTATATCCTAATTTTTCTTAAATGTTTTACACAAAATGCTGTTATTTCATAAGTAATTCACAGATTATTATTTTGAAACACTTTCTGTAAAATGTAAATATCATGCAGTTAACCATTAGC